TCATTGAGCAGAGCAAAGAACGGACGACTGCCTCGTTTTTCCAGCTTGTCTAAGCACAACAGAGGGACAAGCAGACATTTTTTATCAGTATCAGGAAAAAAATTTTTCTTGTAAAACTGGTGTCTTATTCTATGAAAATTGTTTGATATAATACGAGTAGAAAATGTCACAAGATTTAGTTTAGTTGTCTTCTTTCTTTTCCTCCCCCTCCTCCTCCTTTCAAACATCCTTCGCCCCTGCTTCCTCCTTCCTCCCCTCTTTCTACTCCTTCTCCTCCTCCCTTCACCTCTTGCTTCTTTTTATCTTTCCCCCTTTTCTTCCTCATAACACATCCGTAATCTTCCCCCTCCTCCTCCTCCTCCTCCTCCTCCATCCTTCCAACAGGGTTCTCTCCTTCAATGTCTACATCTTCTTTCTGTCATCAACCATATTACCTACAACTGTCACAGACAAACCCACTTACCCTCATTAATGCAGGCCTTATAGAACGCCCTTGGCTTCACCTTGTAGTCGGAGTCGTTGGCTCGGGAACTTACCTCCAGGAGACCTGGAAACCGAAACAAGGAATGAGAAAACAAAAGTGAAAGAAATACAGTAGAAGATTTGTCAAACTCTGTAAAATAGAGACTGGCACTATCTTTGCATAATAAGGAGTAGTTAATTAAGTGGCCATCAATGTTGAAAAAAGGTGTAGTTATGAACAGTTTCTCAAATCAAGTCAAATGAGCATATTTCTACAACAATTTATCTATTTAAAATGTAAAGAGAAAACAATATACCTTCAGGTTGGGACATGTGTTTTGAAAATGCGATCTACTTTATTTGTTCTATCAATTGATTCATTAATTAAAGTATTTATGTATTTATGGATGTATGTATTTATTTATTTATCATCATCATTGCACAGAAGATGTCAAATACTTAGTACCTCTTAGTAACTAATGCACTGATTTCACCTGCTCTAGTGGCTCAGTGCATATTTAGTGAGCTCAGCCTCACAATAATAGTATTATGCGTCAGTGACACAGTGTTTAGGTGGGTGGTCACAGGTTCGTGTCCTTCAGCAAAGCATTATAACCCTAACACAAAAGCAGGGCACTGCACAGTGGCCACTAGTAATGGTGTGTGCATTGTCTTTGTGAAATGTGAAATAGTATAGGTTTAATGCCCCTATCATCACTTTAATTTTATTATTGAAGAGGTAGGGCCTCCGCGTTTAATGTCCTTTGCAGCAAGGACCGAGCCAAAAAGAAAATTTATGTATCTTTCCCAAGGACGCATCATCGGACAGCACTGTCTCAAACCCCACATACCCGCAACCTCATGATTATAGGTCTGCAAGCCTAGCCACTGGGCTACTGATGCCTCATGTGTGTTTATGGTACTGTGTATCGTTGATGCATTTATGTATAATTGGTTGCTTTTAATCACAAGGGGGCTATCCCAAAAAATGCTGTTTAAGAAAATCAAGGTTAAAGATTTTTGGCCCTTGTTCAGTTTCTTTAAAAGACAAGGAGAGTTTTATCTATAACCAAATAAATGTACACACCAATAAAACCAAACTTCTCCTTTAGGTAGGGCTATGCCCACTTTTGGTGTAGGTCAAGATTTCTGGAAACCACTGAAATCTGGGTTCGCCCTCTTGTCCTTAAAAGCGACCAATTATAAACATACTGGTTAACAAAGTATGTTTTTACTAACTTTTGATCTTAATCCTGTTAGCATCCCCTATGCTTGTGCCCACATCCTTCTTGAGTTCATCGGGCTCCAGCACTTGTTTCTTGAGCCAGCCTCCGCAGGCGTACTCGTAGAAGTTGTTGCACGGTTCCACTGAGTCGTCCATGTAGCTTTTGAGGCGGGATGCTGAGGGGGGGTGAGAGGGGAAGGTTAAATGATGATGGTACGATCTCGTCTCGTTTGGAATGATTTGGTGTAGGCCTACATGTAGTTTAGTTTAATATAATAGGATGTACAGTCGTGGGGTGGTGGTATGGTATGTGGGATGGGGGTTAGGGTATTGTGATGTTATGAAGGGGTGTGGTGTGGTGTGGTGGGGTGGAGGGGAAGGTTAAATAGAGCATTATGTAATGGTACAGTACAAATGTTTCAGTATGGCA